GTATCTGACGTGCAGTCGCGTGATTCGTATGCAATAAGAATAAAGGTTGAACTACATTTGACTTTTAATGTGGTTTTATTCTTTAACACGTCGCTTTATTCTTGAGGCGATAGACAATAGCAAAGGCGAAAATATGCTACTAGATTTAGCTCAAACCTTATACTATGGGCCTTTTTATAAGTATATATTCTGTAGTGTTTAATTAGTACTGTTAATTATGTGTTTAGCTCTGCTCAATGACTAGCGATACTTAAGAATATTATTATTGTGAAGATTTAATAAATTATATTACTTTAAGTATTTTTTTTTTAAACCAGAATATCCCACACCTCTATTACAGATTGTCATTTGTGAATCCAAATTAGCTTTGGTCGATTTATTATAGTAGGGGCCTAGTATGGTTGGAAATCGAAATAATTTTTTTACTCCTTACTACCGAGGAAATAAAAAACAACGCTTAAAAGACAAACTTTAATTTAGTGCATCATCACAAATTAAGGAACAATAAACCTTAGCACTATGTTCAATCATTATGGATAGAGATTTTTGTTTTAAAAAAATAATTTACAGAAATTCTTCGGTAGCACACTAGTGACATAAAAATTACATCCTTGGGTTGTTTAAGTTTGTAATTGAAAATTATCAATAGTACAATAAGGATAATGACTAGTTACAAACAGTAATATAAGTAGCAGTAACTATGTAGGGTAACAGCACCAAGTACATACCACTTCTAAGTTTTTATTAATTTAGAAAAATATTTTTTTGATATATTGAAATCAACAAATTACTTAAATAATGTAGGTCGTAAGGAAAGGGAGGACATTTAGGCCAATAAAAATTGTCATATAATCATAAAATTAACATGTGTAGTTTTGTTCAATATTTTGCTATCCCGATTAATAATACCATAACGTGTGAACATAATTTAAGATTTATTAAAATCTATAAATAAAACATGTTAACAAGAATCACATTTGAATCACTTATCTATAGTACTACTCGCTTGAGATCTATGGTTCTATAAGGCTAAAATGGAGCGTCACATTTACATTATTTTGAATATTTGTTTTGTATATGATAAATGGGAATGGAATATATTACCTAATTCCCTAAGCAACATTCATTTACTTTGCACCCCCCCCCCCCCCCACCGACAAGTATACATCGATATTTAAATAAAAAAATACACCCTTTTCTGTCGCTCATCACCGCCATTTATTAGAGTGAGAAAGAACTGCGGATATGCGAAAAAGATAAGGCGACACCATGTTGCACCATATTACACAACCCATATTTAGCGCGTTAGGTTTGTGTTTGAGGAAGTTAAGAGAGTTTCTCTAAAAACAACTCCATCTACTGACGCATTATAATAATGTAACCGTGACATGCCACTATTATCTCAAATAAGCTATTTGTATAGAGGTGTCATTGTTTAATGTATTAAACAATGTCTTTGTATAATATATTAAATTGTATAATCTTTATTGTAATATATTGTAGTGCAGTAATCATAGTAGGTGGGTTCACAATACATCTTGGATACTATGGCAGGGACGTCAGCAGTGTTAGGGATGTTAAGGGTATTCTAACTGGCCGTCGCCAAGCTAGGTGCATTGTAATAAAATTAATTTTATATGTTTTAATGGTGACTGCTAGAGACGCTGTCATGGCATCCTAATAAAAAAACGTCACTGATAAGTGAAAACATAATTATAATAAATATAAGACCTAGTTATCTCGAAACCATTAATATTTAGGTTTAAAGTTTCACAAATTAAGGCGCTGCGCACACTTAGCAATGTTCTTCGCAACTGTAACGCAACTATCAACATTTTAAAAGTTGCCGTTGCAGTAATTAAGAAGATGCAGTTTTCCGGTTGAAGCATTCATCAACAGAAATAGTTTTAAACCGTTAAGACTCAAAATGAGAGCAGGTAATATTAATGCTTGAGCTGAACTTCGGTAATTTGTTTAATAAATGCCTAGTAAATGATTATTGTACCCATGTTTATGAACAAACAAATGAATATGAATAAAAAAGTTTTCATAAAATAATAATATAAAACTAAATAAAATAGCACAAAACTAAAAACTTTTTTAATATTACTTGTAAATATTAAAGTTAATATTTTTTTATCCATTTGATTTGTCTAATTCACACTAATATAATCCATCTGAATTCTTATGTATTTCAACTTTCTATAAAACCGCCCACTATGTAAAGACGACGACAACACATGAATAACAATGCGACGTGTTTTATAATAATATGAGATACTTTATAAACGGTAGTTATTTAGAAACTGAATTTACTAGTTACCGTAACTATATACCCGTCTGCGCAGCGCCTTAGATACTGAAAATTTACTAGAATAAATTAAGACTTTTCGTTCTTAAAGCTGTTTCTTTTCTAAAAATGATGATAATAATATTAATTACAAGATAAATAATTGATTTGGTGATAAGATGTGATTACAGATTCTGCTTTTCTACGTAAGTGGGTATGTTTTTATAGTTTGACAAAGGATATTTTTTATAATTTTTTAAACAGAAATACAGATACAAGAAATTGATTTGCAGACGCTGTATTTACCCTATTATTTGAGATATAAACACATTCAACGTAAATAAAGTGTCACTTATCATCTAAAAATATTATTTTAAAATAAATAAATAGCAAACAGTGAAAAAAATGTAACAATTAGGAATGTCTAAATTATTAAGTGCCAGGCACACGTTACAACTAATTGCTCGCATACTCAGAATTTAATTCTGATGCTCACTCTCTTATGATAAACACCTGATGCATAAATATGCATGTGCTTTATTATTCTTGCAATAAGATTGACTTTCAAAAATCATTTTCCATCACACAATTTTAGTGTAAAACCAAGTTTATAAGTTGCATAGAGGCTTCATTTGAAAAGAGCTAAGACTTTTTAGACAATCTTAACCCGCATTGGCCGCGAGCCATGTTTAAACGGCTAATGCGTGCGTGTCACGTTTATGTTTAAGGGTCATAATATACCTAAACAAGGGGCCAATCCTACTAAATAAATTTTGTTTAAATCGAATCGAAAACGGATCGAAACCGAACGAAACTACAGTTTTTAATAGTTTTTCTATTCTACTGAGTGACATACGATACAATTCGAAGTCGAAGCTGGAATCAAGCGTTTTTTTTTTTAAAAATTGAAGTAGGTCTAATGCCCATCTTCACTAAGCTTAGGAGTGTACGACTTCAATCCAGCAATCAATTTGTAATTTAATTTTTACCATTAATATAGTATGTCCTTGAATACGTTTTAAGGTTTATTTAAAAAACTTGAAGTAGATAGTTTAGTTTACATTAGCTTCTTATATTGAGGTTATGAAATATATGACATATGATTTAATGCTCTAATTTACATAGCAACTAAATCGCCGGGTTGGTGTGGTGCCGTGTGTGTTACGTCTTGACAGTTAAGAGAGGGCGTAAAGCCAAAAGATAGGGACAGAAGATGACGAAGTATTCGGCGCAAATAAGTTTTTAATTAATTACTCAAACTCAAACATAATTCTCTCGGCTACAAAGCGACTATATACTCTTACTCTTATCAATTTTCCTTTTAAAAAGGGTGTAACTACAACAAGATATGGAAAGAATATTGAATTTTGGGGTTAGATTTGTGATTTGTATTAACGAGAAAATTTTATTATTCCACGTCTGTGACTAACTTAGAAAATTGCTGTAATTTTTTAATTTGTAATTGTAATTTTTTCAAAAACAGCTTATTCGTACGTTATTTATTTTGTCTAGTTAAAAGTTTGTGAAGTACGCGCCCTCTTAAAACCTTAAGGCGCAAAGTAGTCTATATTTCAAGTATGTTACGCTTTAGCTTGCTCTCTTCTTCACAAACAAATTAGGCCGATGCTACTCATAAAAATGGTAGAACTATAAATCAGACCATTTGTACAAAAACAATCATAACACATTAACTAAAGACCATGTAAAAATATTAACATCATTTATCCTAAACAAACAAACCATTTTTACTAAATTAAGTACATTTGTTCGTGAAAATTAATTAATAATTTATTAAAAAATAAATAAATAGGAAAAAAGGAACTAAAATTAATGTAATAAATGCTAATAGTTGAGGTGTAGACAAATTTCAACCGTGTCATGTCTTTAATTGAGATTGCTAATTGTAAAAATATGTACTTTTTTTTAATAACAATATATGAAAAGATATATTTTATATATGCACTTTTTAACACCAATCATTATTTTTTTAACGTTTCAATAGAACATCTTTAAGTACTTATGTTTAATTTGTACAATAAATTTTTAAAGTCGCCATTACGATAAATATATATCGAGCCAAATGGTATAATCAGCCACCCAATTGGTTGGCTGACTATACCATTTGGCTGCGACATATACATTAATCACTTTATATATGAAACTTATTACTGTATCGAGTTATTCAGTTATAATAGTCAATTAAATATTGTGTTGCAGTATTATTTGCGTGTGCAGTTACATTTTTAAAGACACTGGAGTAACACTTGGTTCAACTTTATGTTCTACGCAATAAAACTGAGATAGACTTAAATAAAAATCTTAATGCCCGAAAATGACTTTTTTAATCAAACAATTTTGTTTTCTACAGGGCAAGCTGTTCAGAATTCAATTTAATATTTAATTCTCTCGTATAATTTCTTATTTTGTTATAAAACTATACTTTTTTAATAGATAAACAACAAACAACACCTTGACAGGCAATATTTTTTTGTCTGGGAAGTAAATATCTCATAGACAATTTTCAGTATGAATTCGACTTAAACGAATATTATCAAATAATAAATAGCGTCATATTTCAGTTGATCCGTCACAAGACTTAATAGCTGCGAAAACAGAACATAATAATAATATTTCGCTCTTATTGTAAAGTAATAAGGTTCAATTCTCCATGGTTTTTGTTTATATAGATTCCAGTGTTATCAGATAACATTTAGTTCAGTTTGTCGTTGATGGCGTTTTTCAGTTCCATGGCGAGCTTGTAGCCAAGCTCTGGTCGTCTGTCGCGACCGTCCACCATAGCCGCTACCTGCCAAACAATAATATACTTTATTGTTATACAGTATAGTGTCACCACAGTAAAGATTCAGAAGAAAAATTTAACGGAACATGTTAGAGACGCAAAAATCGGCGTATACCATACAATGTAAAGTAAAAAGGAAATATTGACAAAAAAAATCAAAGAATGGGAATAAAAACTTGTCCACATTTTATAGTGACAGTATTTTATGACGCCTTTGTTGTTGAGGATGATAGCCTCGGTGAGGGTATAGAGTATAGAGTGAATGAGTTTATATAGAGAGTGAGTGTATATAGTATAAAGCGTGTGCGAGTAGTGAGTGCAGTAAGTCCCTTTTTCGAATGCACGATGACGCCCTTATTATCGAGATAGCGGCCTCAGCAAGTGAGGCTATAGAGCGAATGAGTGTATATACTACATAGCGTATGTGATTATAGTTAGTGCAAGGAGTATCTCGTATGAGCGTTGGATGTCGCCTTTTGTTGTAGAGGATGATGTTTTCGCTAAGTGGGGTTATAAAGTGAGTGGAATGAGTGTAGTGAGTGCAGTGAGTACCTCGTGTGAGTGTACGATGACGCCGTTGTTATCGAGGGTAGCGGTCTTGGCGAGTGAGGCTATAGAGCGAATGAGTGTATATACTACATAGCGTATGTGACTATAGTTAGTGCAAGGAGTACCTCGTGCGAGTGTTGGATGTCGCCTTTTATTGTAGAGGATGGTGTTCTCGCTGAGTGGGGTTATAAAGTTAATGGAATGAGTGTAGTGAGTGCAGTGAGTGTACGATGACCCCGTTGTTATCGAGGGTAGCGGCCTCAGCGAGTGAGGCTATAGAGCGAATGAGTGTATATAGTACATAGCGTGTGTGAGTATAGTGAGTGCAGTGAGTACCTCGTGTGAGTGTACGATGACGCCGTTGTTGTTGAGAATGGTGGCTTTGGTGCTCTTGATGTCGGCGAGGTCGACGCCGCGGCTCGCGTCGTCTATCAGCACCGCGCGGTACCCGATGGCGAGCGCGTCCGCGATTGTCGCTCCTGTACACAACGACACAACCAAACATATACTAACTAGTGGTGGGATTTGTTTTAAAAAGTATATAAAATGTCGAATGCGTCCCCAATTAGGTGTTCTAATAACTATCATTGTGGGGTGATTTGTTAAGGATTGAAATTTAATGTAAAAAATATTATCTTTATAAATTATTTTTTAATGAAATGTTACCTTGTACTTGGATTTGATAAAATATGAATTTTAGTTGAATAATTAAGTAATTTGCTTCATGCATCAAAATAAAGTAATGTCACTTCCGGAAACAGATATTGTGTTGGCATTAAATAAAAAAAAGCTTATTTGACTAGTCTTGCTATAAGGTAGTTACTAGTTTAAACGGGCATTATTGTAATCGGAGCTGTGTTAAATCATGAAAGTTTTTAATCTATAAGTAATTTGTAAGCAAAATTCACAACGAAATTTATTATCCTCTTGCAAGGCGTTATGTGTACTCATAGATAACCTCCAATAGATGCCGCATGAAAGACAGTAAAGGTAAGTAATACATGTATGCGATACCTCAGCCATGAACTTATGAGTGACCAAGTGTGCGTTCTGTGAATATATGCTTTGACTAGAAGACTTCTTCATAATGAAATAATTATTGGGTTAAGCAAGTTGTAATGTCAAATGGTGTGAAAAAAAATCCATAGATAGGGTATTTTAATCATTACGATAAAAACTCTAAATAAATACAATTGAGATAGCTTAGGCAATAAGCAGTTTGAAAATATCAGTTTATAAAATAAAGAAATGAATTTTTAAAATTCAAAATTAATTTTCAAATATTTAGTCTGTGGTTTTATTACGCGAATCAGTAGCCGCCATGATATGACGTCATTCAGTTTGTAAACTAATATGTTACAAGCAAGATAAATACGTTTAGAGGTAATTTTTTGTAATAATGTAATGATGAAATAAATCAAAAGACATTTTGATTAAAATAATACCATGGAATAGGGTTTTGTAAAGGAAGGTCGCATAAAATTATCAACAATAAAATTTATCATCGGAAAGCTTTTTACAGCAAATCTCGATTTTTGATCTGCTATATTACAGAATGTTAAAACATTCATGTAAGAATATTTTTTACAACTATGTATTTAAATATGATAAAAAGTGCATAAAATGTAAGAAAAGAATAGAACGAGTTTTTTACAAGAGCAAGTGACGTCATAATAACAGAGCAACATGGTATCCAGCACTTTCGGCCATTTCGTGAAATTTGGAAAATGTAAAATTTTGATGTATTTTAATGGCACTAACTGACTGAATAAAAATTTTGTATTTTTTTCAGCGGTTTATTAGGATATTTTATTATGTTTATTAGGATATTATATTATTAGGATTGACTCGAGACACTTTTCGTAAAATAACCTATTGCAAGAAAGATGGTATATACTTTTCACCAAAAGACAAATTTTATTTGTATTTTATCTCGCGGAATTCGAGTTATATTAGTTATAGTATATGGACAATTAAAGATAACTATGAAAGATGCAGCACGCGTTGAAACCTATCCCTTTCTCTCATGAATAAATTAGTATTTGTCAATAGTTTCGTCGCAGTTTCCTCGCCGGCCATTTACCCTATCGCTAAGATTGGTATCTTTATTTTTTTAAAGAAATAGTCCTCATGCGGTATTTGTTGAAGATTATCTGTGTTTGTACTGAATAGTTTTTTTTATTTGGTTGGAAAATACTTTGCATTTGACTCCGGCTTACATATCTGGTCTATATATTTAGAATCAGTATCAGTAGATACGAACCGACGCATACATCGTAAGCGAGCCCGCAGATATATATATCGGTAGCGTTGCGCATGCGCAGCTGCGAGATGAGACTAGTGTCTGCCAGCTTCTTGTTGTCCCAGAACACAGAATATGAATCCACCTCCGGGTTTGTACCCTTATATACCTTCACAGCGCCATCTACCACCTGTCAACGAAGGATAAAACATTATCTTCGAGCTGTTAGTAGTATCTTGTGGACGAGGGAAGGGTCAAATAACTAGAGTCAGTATAAGTATTAGCGGTTACCAATTTCAAATATGAGCCTCGATGTTGCAAATATGTTCTGCTTAAGTACGATATGTTATGTAAATCAAACTTGACTAATTAGAGGTAGTTAGTAGCTTGACCCTTAATAGCATATTTCTAAGATCGTTTTAGGATTCGACACAAGCTGACAAAGTGTTGTTAAATTTTGTTAATCACAAGGTGCGAAATACAACTGTTAACAGAATAAAGATTTAAATTCAAATGTATTTTAGCCTTATGAAATAACCTGGTATGTTGTCGACTGTACCTAGCTGAACTAAAATGATTTCAACCCACTAAAAGCTCTATGACTCTTCGTAGATAACCAAAGTAGGTGAATATACCATACCAATGAAGGTTGAATATAAATAAATACAAAAAAAAAACTGATAATTCGATCCCTATAAAACGCAAGGTCAGACATCTGACGCTATACTCGCATCATAATGTCTACAAATGATAGGTTTCGTGAAATTCTTCATAGGCGAACTTCAATTTATGAAAATTATATACTGCTGTTTTCTTTATGTCACAGAAAATGTCTCAATTATTGACATAATATTTCTAAATAAAACTACTTTTAAACAGTTTAATTTAGATGTCTTATGTGAGTATTTTTTAAAGCAAAAAAGGATATAGAGTAAAGGATATAGAGTATATAATCACGTCAAGAGTAATAGGATTGGAGCAGCAATGAAAAATACGACAAAAACGAGAAAACCACGCGGCCAAAGCCGCTGGCGGAAAGCTAGTTAAATTATAAAAACAAGCAAAAAGTCACGTTTGTTGTATTTATTTTTAGTTTTTGTTGAAGTGGCAATAGGAATAGCTACATCATCAATGAAAATCTCAACTGTCTAACTGTCACGGTTCACGAGATACAGTCTGGTGACAGACAGACAGACATATAATTTGTCTCCAATTGCACCCATAGATCCGGGCCTGAAGGAGATCTTAGTAAAAGGGTATCAGTTTTCTCGGGTAAGGAACCCCAAAAAGCGTGTACGGTGTGGAACCTTGAGGTCCTTGTGCAGCTCTGCGCCCCAGGTGTCTTGCACGCAGTGTCTCGGCCACAGCCGCTGCTTCATGGGCGGCGGGCCCGCGAACACTACCGTGTCATACGCCTGAGCTTTATCCGCTGACACCTATATTAAAACAAGGATTTGTATTTGCTGTGATTTCTTGCCATATTTCTGGGATTAAAATACATAATAAAAATAAATAAGTGAAAAAGATACAAGATTTTGTTATAGTTTTAACTTTTATGATGTAGGAATCATATGATCTTAAATGCCTCTAATGGTACGCGACGTCATAACTCGTTGTCAATTTCAGGGTTACCAGAACAATCTTATCCACATTTTTTATCCAAAGATACAACTAACTGGATATTAAAATATATAAACAAACTCAGTATTGGCATGTAGAAAGCAGAATGAGGAAGTAATAAAAAAAACATTCGTTCCCGAAATCAAACTAGATGTCGCTACGGTACTTTCTTGATTTCTCCATTTATTTTTTTATCCATGACAACCCTTTCGGTTTTCTTTCATAACTGAATAATCACTAACGTGGGTTATCTCACTAACGTGGGTTGATTTTGTCTCTTTTCCTCTTTTATGATAAAGGGAAGATATAACTAACCGGACTGGAAGGATGCAATTCCCTCATATGAACATTGTCTATGAAGGACACGTGGTCGGGCGGATGCCAATCCAGTGAGTAGAACACTGCGTCGAACGGCACGGTCTCCAAAAGTCTGTTAATCGGCTCCACCACCTGAAAACAAAACAGGCGTTATACTACTGATAGTTTCAGTAGTTTGAGACGAAAGAGGTTGAATCAAAAAGTTCACGGACAGTAAAGTACTTTTCAATATGTTCCGTTGATTTCTTTATAGTTTTATTGTCACCTAATTAAACTGACGTTATGCCCGTCCCTTCAAATCTTCATCAATGATTTTGCCTCGAAACTATATCTTTAACTCATTATATCTCCTAAAATAATCAGAAGAATTAATTCCTGAGAAAAACTCAATTTTTCATCTGGATTGTGTTGTGACTTATTTATCAAACTTAAATTATCAAACTTTGTTGTTTAAACCTTTAATGAATATTAAGGCTTCATTACCATAATCAAAATTAATGATGACGACTTATTATGGAACTGAATGGAATGGACAGAACGACCGAAGAGAATTGCAGATACAGACGGGATCAATGGCTTAGTACTTCTCAAAGGCTCGACATTATACATTTTTGGTCATGTATCCTGAGTGGACCTTGCAAAAGTCGCTACACCTAGGTATAACAGGCCGAACGCCTTAACCTCTACGCTATCGAGTTTAGTTTAAATTAATAATAAAATAAACGAAACTCTTCTGTATCTATAAAATACGACCAGTGGCACCACCGCTATAACTAAAGCTCCGATTCTTTCTTTTCTAGCAAACAAAATTGAAAACATCAAATTCCTCATGGTCTTCGATGATATTTTAAGTGAGTATTTCTAACCCACTTATTTTCATTCAGCGTAGTATTAAAATATACTGGAACAGATAAATCGAAATATATCCTTCACGCAAATAGTTTGCTTTTGATATGATGATAAGTTGCAGTCACAAATCCAACATCGACCTCCAATTTGTTATGACAATAGGGTAATAAATTAATCGACATGATGTAAAGCTTGTGTAGAAACGTTTTGGCGCAGTATAATTCACTTTGTGCGGCTCCGGCGGTTCTACTTCCGTTTCTTTTGTTAGTGAAATTGGCAATAATAGGGCAGGCTTTACTTTCTATGCTACTATAATTTGCTGCTTCACCCGAAAGTATTTACTTAATTGTACTGGATGAATTAATGTTTGGTATTTTCAAGTTGGAATTGTGTCATTTCAGCACGAGGTATCACATTACCTATAATAATTGCGACATAACAGTAGGTCAAAATAAAAATAAATGATTGGACAACTTTACATGTATTGCTCAGTTTTCGATTATACGATCTAAGTTGCTCAGATACCAAATTATGTGGCTAAAGTTCTTGTATCGTGGAAATCAGGAACAAAGAAAGAAACAACATTCAGTTCTGAGATATAGAATAGGCAATCTAGATATCAAATGACAATGCTCCATTTTGACGTTTGAAGCTCGGTATCCGGTATTGATAAATTAAAATTAAAACCTGATATTTGATGTATTAGGTAAAGAAAGCACAAACAGAGCCGTCGACCAGGAATCGAAAACTTTGAAGCCGGCGTGTATACTAGGTTTATTGATAAACGAAAAAGTTGCAGTTATAATTTCTCCATTTATATGTAGCTTAGATATCGGAATAAATACAGACCATTATAACATAAAACGAAATAGAATGACTAGCTACTTAAAATAAAATGTATTAATAGAGGTTGGACACTGCCAGTTTTGCATTGTCAATGCTGTATTATAACACGCAGTGCTAGTGATTATGGGTCTCTTCTTTCAAGCTACCTTTGAACCACATCTCGATTTTAGATTAAGGCGAAATTTAACGCAGCAGAGTCGATCTGCTGGCCTGACAGGATATTTAGGGCGCGAAAATATAGAACGACAGACAAGTACGTCTAGTCTAGTCTACACTTATATGTAGACTTAAATCGAAAACTAGTGTAGGTAATAGTAGTAAGACTACTTATAATCTGGAGTCTGGACATTTTTCATCAATTTTGCGTTTTTAAAGACAAATATAGAACTCCAAACGAATATTTATAGAATTAGAGGGAGTGATAATTGATATATCATGTTTGAGTATTTTTAACCAGTTTGGCTGATCCTGCATCAGATGATAACAGGCGATGTAATTTGGTGTCATGTAATGCAGAACATTAATCTAAAATAAAAGAGGAATATAATAATTATGCTTCTATGTTCCGTTCTCGAGAAAACCCACATACAGATCCGCCATTTATGCACGGGGTTGATGATAATAAAAAAACCGAAGAGGGTATGCCAGATACTTTTTCCTACTGCACTACCTTCCTTACTTCATTCACATAACAATTAGGAGGGTGGGATGCTAATCTCGAGAACGAAACACCTCGTATTATTACGATAGAACTTCATTTACAGGTTAGCTCGATTAATCATAATTAGGCTATGATAAGACTGAAATATCTTTACCATCATAAAGCAAAAAGGGAAATGAATATTCCTAAATTATTCACATATTAATATTATTTTTAAAGGAGGCGTTAATAGTTGTAATATCCGGTAATTTCCGGTTGATATTTGTATTATAAATAGCTAAGTAGCCAACACAATTGAAATGTAGGTATACAATGACTGAATCAAATGCGATGGACCGTGATCTCAATGAAGGTCATTATCAAATTGGTAATAAACAGCAGATGTTCCCACGATGTAATCAAAGTTTTTAAGAGATCAACAAAGTCTTAATAATTGAAAATATTTTCACATATTGTACCTATTAGATCATCACATATATTGCTCAGATTCCATGATGAGTATATAAAGCCATCGTATTATGGAGTATCTGAGACAGTGAAGGTATCACAACATTCAGACCGAAACAATATAGAAAAGTCCTTTTCGGAATCGCATCGAGAACTCCGAGATGCCGGCACCTTGAAGCTTACTGAGGTCGAATGAGGAAGTATTTAAAAAAACCGAAAGCACTAAAAAAGCACCTCCACTAGATGGAGACTCTAGCAAAAGTTGATTTTTGCAAGAAACGAATGGAGACAGTCATTCCGTACCTTTTAACTAACATATTAAAGAACTAAAATTTAAAGAGTTCGAAACTTAGATATCAATACAAATACGAAAAAGTACAAATAGAATATGAGTTGTTTATTGAGTTTTGAAAACTAATTTACTAGTAACTTGAAAGAAAACCGGAAAGGTTGTCATGGAGAAATCAAGAACGTACCGTAGCGACATCTAGTTTGATTTTGGGAACTAATGTTTTTTTTTTAAATACAATAGTGTTGTTCAGTGTAGAACAAAGTGAAAGCTATTAGTCTAGTCCACAAAAGTTAACAAAACGAATCGGTGCTAATTGTATGCAGTAAAAATATTTACAAGTTACTTAATAAAACTTTGAGGAACTTTATTAAACACGCCAATGCTTACACTAGTGAAGTGAATGCACTATCTAAACTAATATTATTAAAAAGGAAATATGTAATTGCTTGCATTTCAATAGGTTTCCAAAATAATGGACCGATCTTCATGAAAGCTACATCATACTCGAGTGACATAAGCTATAATTGACGCAGGCGATGTCGCGGGAATATAGTTAGTACTATATATTTGTTGTTAGTGTGCTCTGAATGTTAACGTTTGCATAAAAATGTTTTAATAACGTAACTTGAATTAAACAAAATCTCTGCATAAATCTTGTAATACATATCGTGCCAAGCAAACTATTTTAAGATATGCAATTTAACTGCAATGACTGTCGTGAACTATAACGATAGATAATTTTCATAGCCTGCAGGCTCTGCGGTCGCAAATTAATTCCGGCTACAGATACTTCCGTTGCATGCGTTTAAATTAGGGCTGCCGACGATACTTTTAAGTGCAGACAAGTTGTTCGATAGGGTTCATGCAGACAGAGGGGTTTGTTTAAGTTTATATGGAGAAGACGTGTGGAATGCTAATATCTCTTTTGGGCAAAATTCCGAAGTGCACGAAACAGGACACTGGAAAAAGAAATTTCTAACAATAAAAAAATAGCTAATTATTCGATTTTATATTTTAGAACGCAGTAAACAGTAGTAAACAAAATTTCTTTAGAGTAGAACTGTGGCCAGATTTTTTTCTGTGTTCCGTTACATTTATTCCAATACGAAACTCGACCAATAGACAACCACTAATTTTTGACACGTGTAATGGATAAAAGAAAAGCATAAAAGTGTCTAGGTATTAACTTACATTTTATTTGAATGACAGTACCTTTTTTTTAATTTCATATAACCTACGTAATAATTTCAATTAATTTCGAATCAATTCTTCAACCGATAATAATATATAATTATTTTTTAAACAGACAACCCTGTCAGGTCGATGTCGGTAGCTGCCGCACGAACTTCTGCGGTCTTATTCGATTGGGCTCCGTCAAAACTATCATTGTTATCACGCAAACATAATTTAGAAAAATGTTTTTTTAACCATCGCTTATGTAATAAGAGACTATGTACCTATAAAGCTAATGCAACTATGTTTTATCTTAATCTATTAATGGGACATCAAAAATATCAATAATTTAACTCAAACATGTATTTGTTAAGAAGATTCTTGATTTGTATTCCAAATCGGGAGACCTGACAAAGAGAACGGAGTTTAAATCCAATTCGTTCATCGTACCCTCTAAAGTAAAATATGTATTGGTAACCTATAAAATCGAATATATATATTAGTTTTATTATACTACTAAACAATACATGTTGACACTAATGGCTCAGTTACACTGGTCAACGGCACACCGATAAAACAATGACCGGCCAATGATAGCGAGTGACAAATGGCTCGCACCCCGCACCCGCAAAATTGCTATCCATCATTAAAGTCAAAAGATTACCAAAATTATTTACTTGGTTATAAACTATGTTGTCATTAATAACATGCCAGATAATAAGCTAAACTTTAAAGAATAAAATTATGACTAAAAAAATAATACTGCAACCCCTATCAAAATATTTTAACTTAGCAATACTCCTTTTATTCAAACGAAGGTGTCAAGTACAAAGTGATAAAGTTGAAACTATTAAAAACCTTTCAAAACTATCAAACAAACAGCACTGCAGCAGAAATTGGATGGGCCGTCGAAGGCAGCGTGCTCGTCTAAAAATAACTCATCGCCATCGTGCCAAAGTTAATTCGTAGTGTTGTAGAGGCGGAGTGATGCGGACCGTGCCTGGCACCAGCCGATGGGGTGATAACGTTAGGTGTTTGAATAGGTGCTGCCCGCATACCGGGCGTCAACGATTACCACCATAAACTTGTTTTAATTTCACTTAAGTATCTCCCGTTATTTTTGGTCACGAAAATTGTATTACACCTGAAGACTTATTCTACTTCTTCTTTTTTAATCATGGCCTAATTGCGTTTACACAATTTCGTCAATGTCACGTTTGTGGTCTTTACACGTAAAGAAACAATAATGAAATATGTTAATTTTGAATTTTGGGGTCTCCGAAAATGAAATGTCATCTATTTTCAAAATGCAAGAAAAGACTACAAAGAAACGCATTTTTAGGTCTATTTTTTCTCTGTGATTTATATAATATTGATTCATATAAAAAGTTAAAGTTAGTTAACTTTAACTTTCCGCTAGTGGCTTCGGCCGCATGGTTCTGAATTATACAAAGAAATCTTCCTCTTGAATCATTGTATATTCACGAAAACCGCGTTAAAATTCGTTATGTGCTTTATAAGATCTCAGCGTACACACAGCAGGGAGCAATTGCGTTTTATACTATGTAAGACAGATATATCGGATTAACATTTTGAGATGACAATAGCGACGTGACAAGCCAATTTCATGTAACAAAAAGGGTTTATGAGGATTTTGACGGAAACAAGGAGAATACTGAAAAAAAAACAATGTATAGGAAAGGATTAAATGTTAAGATAATATATGGAAGAAGAATACCCGTATATTGCCTGCCCCAAGTAAATTAATGGGGACAAGAACTCGTATGTAACAAGTCTTTGAAATAGTTAATTCCCTAGGTACATTAACAATTGGTCTCTCAAATAATGAAAAAAAAAAACAATTCAGATTATTTTGATATTTTGCGTGTGCAAACAAATTTTACATTTTTATAAGTATAGATTCAAGTGAGCTCACTTTTGAATGATTTCCATTTAAAAACATAATATAGGGCGATCATTGTGTAGACGCGGATAAATGTAAATTGCAACGATTTCAGTAACAGGTGACCTTTGATTGACAATTAACATATATTAGTAGCTCGAGCGAGCGATCACTTTCTTGTATTTTAATTTTTCCTGGATAATTTTAGACAATCAAGAGCGAGTCCCCTAATCATTTTTAAATACTAATTGGTTTGGAACCAGGTTCACATTCTTTGTATTTTTTTCTGATTCAAATTCTGGAATACTGTCTGTGGAATACTGAATCGTTTCCTGGGGTGGTGCAGCCAAATCTCATCTAATTCAACTTGGGGGCCCAACGTGCCCAACTGTTGACCTATTCAACATGTGGGATGTTCTTACGGTAAGGCAAATATATAGTGGTACTCGATTTCATTCCAGTCTTACAACTTCATCGGCTTATCAATATAACACTTGAGGAAATCAACTTGTAAAGTAACCATCTTGTATTGTCACTTAATTAGCAGGAAAACGAACTACTGCTTGCTACAATAGTCTAAATTTCTTCTGCAGAGAAAGGACAGTGACGCTTACTAGAGTTACTAAATTAATACTTCAACGTTACCATCTCACATATTTTTACGATCACTCACTCGTTAAACACACTCCCACAATAAGTATTCATATAATTAGAATACAGAGATAATCCTCGCATTCCTACACTACTCCTCGCACAAAGAAAACACACACACACAGATTCACTCACTTAAACACAAGATAAAGATATGTCAGCACTTTAATTAATTTTGTTTTCATTGTTAAGTTAATGTAATGTTACCACTTTCTGCTTCTCTACTTTTTTTTTCTTTTTCTAAGACAATATGTTACTCTAATGATATTACTCCGGAGGCTGTGAGCATTGGTGACCTTGTCATAGGGGTTTACATTAAAACCTCTTTCAGGCTCCAGTCTGCCACATAACGGTCAACTCAGATTATATTCATCATATATAACATTCAGGTTACTCCTTAAAAATTAACTAATTCTGATTGTACACGTCGCAAAATAACATTAGTTTTAGGAGTGACAGAGACAACAATGGTCCGCAATAGTACATCCTAAGTACCTCAATATCGACGTACGAACACACATGTTTGATCGATACTCCACTCGGTACTGATACCGAATACTCCGCTGACCTTTGCATACAAAACAATACACAACACAAAACATACAGTAGGTTTTAGAAAACACAAGTTTCCGCCTTTACGGAAATTGCAAGCTAAACACAACTTTATAAGACGCTAGCTGTTCTCCCGTGATTTTGCTCGCATAATAATGTAGCTTTCCGTAACTGAAAGAATTTTTAAAACCGATCCAGTAATTTTAGTGCCTTTTCGATGCAAACAAATAAACAATGAATTTTTTTCTCTTTATTAGTATAGACATGTAGATGATTAGCTACATAGAATAAAGAGATTTAAGTATCACGCGGCATTGTCCATTTATTTCAATCGGCCGTATTTACTGATTTGAGTTTTAATTTGTGATCTGGACAATGTATGTAATGTTGTCTAATGCAGCGATTCCCGAAAGGTGGTTCGAGAGTTAAATAAACATTCGTAAAAAAGATACATAAACTACACTTACTTATGACTTCGTAAGGCTTACAATAGTATTTTACATTTACAATTTGTTCCTTCTTTTAAATCTCACGTATCGTCAATTAGGGTTTCGAGACCTAAAAAAATAATCTCAGCGATTCCCGAAAGGTGGTTCGAGAGTTAAATAAACATTCGTAAAAAAGATACATAAACTACACTTACTTATGACTTCGTAAGGCTTACAATAGTATTTTTCATTTACAATTTGTTCCTTCTTTTAAATCTCACGTATCGTCAATTAGGGTTTCGAGGCCTAAAAAAATAATCTCCTGGTCTAACGTCTATTTTATCAACCAAATGGATATTATCTATGACTCGTCTGGTTACGGAATGTGTATGTAATTTACTCTATCTTTACTTAGACTTAATTATGTTCTGTAAACGTTCGAATGACGCATTATCACAAAATCGAAAGACATAAAAAATAGTTTCGTGGCCAAGGGAGAAGCATCTAGTCGTGACAATCAGGCTATTGGACAACGATCCATTATGACAGTGAAGTAAACCATGACAAGTTCCGAGTCACAAGCGATGCAACCACACTTGGTTGGCGCCCAACCCACACGCCTCTTCTAAAATATTTTTGTGTTATAATTTTTTATTTACTACAATTATATTTAGTTTTTAGTATATATTTAGATTTAAGTGGTCGTTCGTTACATATCCACTCCACTTACGGTTGCCTGTTACCTATATCAAAAGGTTTTTGGACTCTTCTCAGAACTGCGGTCGGATTTTGTAAATATTAGGATTTTTAGATTTTACATTGTAAAGATCTCTTTAATAATAAGTTATCCAAACTAAAAATAATCTTCCTAACTTTGCGATGTACAACGAGTGATCCCTGAATGGAGAAAAACGATATTATTCTAACTTTTTTTTAATTGTTAAATTAGTTTGAGAGAAAATTCCAAAACAGCAAAGAAATCTCAGAATTTTTCAATGGAAAATTAGACCTTTACTTCGCACTTTTGATTTTTTCATCATGTAATCCTAACTCCTAGCGATAAAACTAAACCATTAAATACCGGTGTTTGTATATCTTTAAAAATCTCCCCTCAAAATGCTTGTGCTTTTAGTTTCGTCATGACTTAAAGAAGATTCATATTATCAAATCTTAGGTTTAGCAATATCTGTTTATTAAGTAAAACTAGCTTTAAAGAGTGTTATTAAACATTCTAATAACTTTACGGCTAACCAACAGATTCACTTTACATGAAAGCTAAAATACTTCGCCAACTATACGTATAATAAGAGGCTATAAAAACAACATATTCAAAGCAATGACTTACTTTAACACCATATTGTAAAAACAATGTTTCATTATAGCATACCTACTTTGTCTTCTGTCATTATCAATTGATTTTAGGCAGCCAACGGTTCAAACTTTAAACTAAATACTTCCGTGTCTATACTTTTGTGGTTATTTATATATATATATTTTTTTTAGGTATAATCTTAACATTTTTATAAGTAATAAAAACATAAGAGTTGGTCCCCCTAAATGTTGTCACATATAAATGCAATTTGCACTCACCTCACTACCATCTTGTTGAGCGTTACACTCACTAATGTTGAGGGTGCCGGAGATGAAGTCGTTCTGTACATCGACAATCAGGAATGCACTTATAGGACGCACTATCTGCAACAACAAAACAATAATCAGAATTACAAATCTATAAGTTGGAAATATACTTTCTTGCAGTTTCGATGTCACAAGAATTATTTTAAGAATTTATTTGTAATAGTAATAAGCTCTAAGGCGCAGTGGTTACCGCGTTCGGTCTGGGAAGCTAAGTTAAGTCACTTTCACAAAGGCGGATCATAGGATGGGTGTCCAAAAATTACAATTTTTAGGTCCACCGCGCTATATTTAGCTATATTATAAAAATACTATATGTTCACACCTACTATACTTTAATAGCTCTTCTTTTTAAATACTATATTTCGCTGAAGAAATGTTAGCCACCCTAGTCATAGCCCATTTTTCCTATTCGGTTTGAACCATTCCATTCATACGGAAGTGTAAAAACTACTACCTTTATTTAATAATTTTTTAAGTGTTGTTTTTTTTTTTAAAACAATATTAAAAAAAACTGTAAATTACTTTTGCTCTCTCATCTACCCTTTTTTGTGTCGTAGAGGAAATTATATGTACTGTCTCGGCCGCTTGACAGGCACCAGGGGCTGCGTGGGACTCTATCCGCATGAATCCATCCAGAGGCTAGTCAAAAATCAGATGGCATACACACTAAATCCTCTATGATGCGCCCTCACTTTTAGGCGTGCACATTCAGCAGGGACTGCTCCACATCCAGACTCCGACGTATTACATCTACTAAAAAAAACATAAAAATATCTTCACTAAGTATTGTAACTCACCACTTTAATCCAATGGTTCCAGCAGAAGGTGAACTCGTCTTTGTCGATGAACCCGTCACCATTCTTGTCGAACACCTGGAAGATGTGGCGAGCTCGCTCCTCAGACAGCGGGTAGATGTGCCCTTTGTCGTTACGGAACAGTGCCTTGCAGATCAGCCGGAACTCCTCAAAGTTCAACTTGCCATCCCTTGTGAAAAATAACGTCATCATCAGTGTTGTCAACTTCAATGAATGCGAATCACTACAAGGCGCTAAAATTTAATGTATTGTATATTTATGACTATGTATTGAGTGTGCAGGCAATTCTTGTACTGCTTCCCGGGTCTCTTAAGGGTACTTTAAGATAGGGTTGACAGAAGGTCGGGATATCTGACATTGACCCGGAATTTACAAATAATAGTTCATTTTTTTCACATAGTTATGATTTTTCTAAATCGCCATTTTCATTATTAGTTCATAATTTTGATATTATTCATTTATTTTGTTATAGTAGTTATAACTTTTATTATTAATAAGGATGATGACTGGGTAAAACAATAAATTTTATTTAGTCGGTCGGTCAGATAATAGAAAATTATCAGATACGTATTTTTTTTTCTTACTTCAATTTAACAAGGAATAGATAACAGGCATTAAAGTTGAGAAGAGGGGGCTCGCTTAGTCACAGTTATGTAGAAAATGTACCAAAGCGTGACGTCATGCACATTTTAATTCAATGTATAGCCGTAATTTAATGATTACAAAAAAAGCGTGTAATATTTTTCAACAATCTACATGACAAAATTTAATTTGTCATGTAGAACAAAATTTAATTGTCATCCCTATTGAACATTTGACTTTTTCAATATTATTACAATAACTTTTTTGATTTACACAAATTTTTATTCTCATGAAAAATATATAATGAGCCAGTGAGATGGAGTATTCTGTAAGCTGGTCCATAAATGAGTAATAAATTAATACTATGGCCTCCAAACTCAAACCAAACATGGTCATCTAATTTGTGATATTGATTTTTAATCAAAGTTAATATTTCCAGCCATTTTATGTTGGACAGTTTAAGAAAGAAAGGAAAAGACGTTTGCATGACAGTCAATAGTTCAATAAGTTTAATTTCGGATCAGACACCAAAACTCTGATTCAGGCCCCAGAAATTACCAGGAAATAATAAGCCTGGATTTGGCAACCCTACTTCTAGGTGATGTAAATCTGTAGGGTTGTAGGCCTACAAAATGCACTGCATTTAGTGACATGTGGGTTAAGTACAAGTTGAAAGCTAAACTGCATGCAACAAAGCATTGTGGGTTGGCTTTACAGCCAACTAAAATGTGAACTTGTGTTTAAAAGGAGATTGGTAGAGCCAGATTTCGAAAATATATACATGAATAGTCGCATGAGCAACAAATAACAATATGTCATCAGAGAAATTCGTTAAATCATTAATGTAACTTTCAGTAAATGGAAGCTGTAAGTCTGCAATCACCAAACTGGCAGAACTGGGCATCATCAGCTTACTTAAGATTATTTTGGGGCATTTCATACACAAAAATAAGATAAAATAATAACAACACACTCTATGTGGTTAGAGCAGAGGTTCTCAAATTTTGATGATTTAGTGAAATATGATTAATATTTTCTTGGACTTCTAAAAATGCTTTGGCCTACAGCTCGGCAGATCACATTAAGAAAAAAGCTAGAGTAGAAAAGGTATAACGTAGTTGCAAAAAAGCATATTATGTTGCACTGTGAAAAAAAAATCTATTTGTACTTAATATGGGGAGGTTGGTTTAGTTGTGGTTTTTGATGAGTTTTGGGAATACTCTAGGAAACACTGAAACCAAAATTTTTTTAAAAAGTTTTGAAATTTCTGATCTATTTATTACAAGATACCATTGTGATTTAATCACATTGTAAATTATAGTTTTATTTTTTTTAAACATAGTTACTATTAAAACTACTTGATTATATTTTGAAAAGAGGTTTAAAAAAAAAATTAAGGACCATCAACCTTATTTATGTAATTTACAGTATTGACTTTGTTTATTAGCTAAAGTGGAGTATATGTAATTATCTAATAGATTAAAAGTTTGGTTATCGGTTTGTTCAAAAGTTTTTTTACATAAATTTTGATTACTTTTAAAACTTCATATATCAATTAAAAAGGAGGTATTATCCTCATCATTCAGAAGATTTCAGACATTACTAACAAACATTAAATAGTTATGATAGGTAATTAGTTAAAGGAAAAGTTGGCTTCGGTCTATGATTTTGTCTACATGGAATTATGAATTGTCCCTAGGGAAAAAATATCATATTTATTGCTCCAGGTATTTGAATCACCTAAATGTTAATTGTAATCAAAATCAATTAAATCGATTTAAGGTGAGAGAACTAACACAATAAAACATAAAAACTAAAATTTTAATAACTAAATTTAGGATCATAGGTTTAAAATGATTTCGGCATTTCAAATTAATTATAAGGCAATTTTTTAATTAAAAGTTTTCGTGTGAAACTTACCCATCTTTGTCAAATGTTTCATAACACGCGTCCATATCGAACAAACAATTTTCGTCAACTGGCCAGCTGTTAGCAACCTCCGACATCGTTGGTTGGATCGAAATGACTCGCCGGCTTTCGCGGTAGCCGTTTTTAAGGCAATCCAACTTCATGTTGCTCACTTAACTTGGTTAACCTCTTTTTATATAAGTATTCATAAAAACTAAACAGTTATCAGCTCTGTATCAACATAATTATGAAGAATGAGATTCTTAATAGTTTTAAATTGTATTTAAGTTATGTATTCAAAACTTATCCATAGAAATTATTTAATTCAAAAGTCAATTTAGTTTCGGGATTAACGAATAACAACATTGCATGACACTGCTGACAGTGACAGTGATAGGGATGCAACGATATATTGAACAGCTGATAAATAAATAACTGGTTAGGTATTAGTAATTTATTAAAAATAGATCAGCCCCCTAATTGTCTAATTTTAAATCTATTGCAATCGCTTTCAGTTTGAAAGGTGTTGCACAACCATTGCTTGTTTCTGAAGACAGTTAAAAAAAAGTATTTGTATTATGCAGCAATGGTTGTGCAACACCTTTCAAACTGAAAGCGATTTAAAATTAGACAATTAGGGGGCAGAATACCAAAACTAGAGATGTGCCGAGTCAGACTGACTTACAGTACTTACTCGAATATCTAGCAGGTACTCAGGTACCTAAAATACAGAATTCGGATACGTAGGTACTCGAGTACAGGATTCAAGTACTTACGGTATTCGAATCCTAAGTCGTGTACTTTAATAGCAACCTTTTAACTTAATACGTACGGTTTTATTTGTGACTAATGGTACAGAACAATTCGTTCTAAAAGTACTTCGTTTCGTACAAAAATTTTATTTTCGTTGATTACTAATAGTTTAATAGAAGATTTTTACGTTTACGACGTAACTTACAGTTTTTAACATAAGTGTTCTTGTTTATTTTCTTATTTATTTTATATAATTGTTTATTTTAAAGTTATTTACAGTTTCAAAAATTTTAGTAAGATTATAATTATAAAAGCTCGATTTGCTTTGCGTGATTCTATAGAACTTTTTAATAATGTTCATAATTACCAAAGTATAATTAATATGATTAAATGACTGATTAAAGGCTGTATTAACCTATTATTATTAAAATACTTTCCTATTGTTCATGGTTTATTATAATGTGTAGTTGTCGTCAAACTCATGCAAACTACAAAGTTTGATTCAAATAATACACGAGTCCACTGAATACTTGCGCTAGTACTCGAATACCTACTCGACTCCTCTGACTCGGATACTGACTCGATTTTTTTTTAATGAGTACCAAAGTACTCGAATACCAAATACAGCCGACTCGGTACATCACTAACTAAAACCACGCGATGTCCGCTTGATGTCCGCTTTCCCACAGAGCTCTGTGAACAACAATTTATTTCGGTTGCCCTCAAAAGTTGCTAGAGTTAATCTATAAGGGGGCTGAATGCATTTATCAAAAGCAGGAGCCAAATTAGACTATAAGAACAGCACGCGTAGCATGACGAACGCGATAACGTTTTGTCTACACTCAAATGTCACTTTTCTCAGGTGCGCCCATACTATATCTCACTCTCGACCCGAGAAATTGACAAATGAGTGTAGACAAAGTGTTTCTCGAGTTTGTCATGCTACGCGTGCAGGTTTGACAAACAGCTATTCGTAAATTTAGTAATTTCTGTTAAAAAGTGAAGACTTCTAGGTAGTTTTTCGATCTCTTTAGTGTTTTGTACCTACTTGACGTGTCTGTCATTCCTGTTTGTATCTGTCTTTATGTTTTGCTATTATACTCATATTTTACACTTCCAATCCGAGCTTTATCATTTCTTTAATAATTTCCATCACCCCAATTTATAAGCGGTAATTTTTTTTAAATAAATTTATGATAAAACAATAATAAAATTAATTTTATTTATTTATATAAGTTTTTACAAATAAGATATTTTGGATTTATAACCAAAAATGTCGCAAGAATAATGATATATCGGATTTCTATGTTGAATTCTATTCTGATTCGATTCGATTTCAATAACTTCTTCTTACATTCACTTAAGTTTATTTTTTTGTTTTGTAACGACATCTAGTTTGATTTTCCGAACTAACTCATTCAATTATTGAAGCTAGCCTAGTAGAATGTTCAATTTAATCCTGGTCACACTGATAGACGCGCGTCAGTTCAGTGAGAGTACTTTATTTTTTATTGTAGTATTTTCTTCTTAGTCTGTGATATCTTGTAGCGTTTGTTCGTGCTCCAAATTTTGTGTCAGCAAACTTAAGAGATATACCTATTACTTTTTATTTATCGTCACCTAATTAATTATTTTGCAAAGGCTGTGATGTCAGCTATTTAGAGAACTTAACCCACGCCATACACAGTTCTATACGTTGACAGCAGTATGTTGATTGAAAAAGTGCATGGTCTTCAGACTACGGCATTGAGTCTAAATGACCGGTTTACTATGTTAGCCACTGCAGCTCCTGGCCCCGTCGCCATGAGACCACGGCGACGACCGAATATGGGGTACTTCAATCAAAACCTTAACTTCAAGAATCGTAACCTCATAGAGCAGATAGCCCTACGTTTGGAAATGCAAGCTAAAAGGGTGAGTTAACACCTTTCATAATATGACAAGCTGTTTAAAAATTTGCTTATTCGTGAAACTTTTAAGAGACTGGTTAAAAAGTCACGTTACCAACCACAAATAACACCATGTAAGTTTACTATGTAAGGTTGTTTGTTGTATACTTGGGAATTGGTTATAAAACTTGATATATTACCATCATTATTGATATGAACATAAGATATATAAATATATATAATCTATGCTATATTTTGTACCTTTTGTTATATTGCAAGGTTACATATATATATTAATGGCCTATTTATTGTATGCCATTTACACAAGTGTTTTTGATTTTACAACATTATTGTTAGTATCTCGCTAGTGGGTTGTTTTCTACAACTGAAGGTGCCTGTTTTGTATGCAATAATTGTTAATATATAAACTTATTAAAAGGTATTTAGAAGCATCAAATTACATTTTCAATGATTCAAACATTTGCTTTAATGAAATTAAAAAAATATTATTTGGACAAGTCTTAATTTTAGTTGTCTTACCAGGAGGATTCATCTTTAGGTTCAAAGAACACACAGAGACATGTTTGAAAAAGTCATTTGTATATTTGGTACTTGTTTTTTCCAGCAAGCAGTGAAGCAAAGATTAGGAATGCTCAGACGCTTTGGCAGTGAGAGTAGTCTTCCTGGCCTCCGACGCTCAAACAGTTTTGGTAACCTCAGCCAAACTAGTTTTAAGAACAGATACAACTGGAGACAATCAAATGGCAATTTGAGGTATGTTAAATTGAGGTTCTTATATGTATAATTCAAATGTAATAGAGTACTAATAAATTAATTACTATTAACAACATAAATTATTGTATTTGATAAATGAACATATTATTGTGGTGAAATCAATTTCTGTATTATTATGGTGAAACCAAATTCGTATTTCTTGCTGAAACTCAGGAATGCTGCATTGATTTAGCTGGTTATGAAATGTTGTTAATTGTCCTCGGAAGGTTTAAAGGTGAGAGGACGATATGAAGTACACTAGGTCATCTAGTAAGCTATGAAAATATAGTACAATAAAAAAATATGTACTCATTTTAATAGCACCAGTGTTTGTCTCGCAAATTCACTGGGAACCATACAATAACACAAATGCAATCAGATATATTCAATGCTATGAAACAAGATTAAATCCTTTATTCAAATATGTGGTATTGAAAGTACTTTTGAATTATTTCTTTCTTACCACCTATTCAAAGTGTTTTTTCACTGACAAGAATGACAAATAATAGGAACCAACGAGAACTCGACATAAGTACTAACATTTACATAAACTATTTATTTTAGCTTTCTCATAAATTTTAAAAAGAATGAATAAATAAATGAGTGAAAAAAAAAGAAAGAAAGACATACTGTTCAGAATCCACGTTGAGTAGTTACACAAGTATGAAACAGACCTATTCTTACTTGTATATATTGATTGTGTAGTTTCTTGTGTAGCTTCTATTTAACTAGCCGTTTTTCCATGACTTCACCTGTTTTGTATAGTATCAGACCAGTAGTTTCGGAAGATTCTTTCACCACCTAGGCTATATACCATTTTCACTGGCTGTTATGGCCTTTAAAATAAAACATTTGTTTAGCTTCAGTGAATTCAGATATAACATAAATTTTGCAAGTGCTTAAATAGTGAAATCAATTTGTGTCAAGTATTTTAAAATGATGGTGAGATTAGTATCAATACGTTTGTTTTTTTTTTACATATGTACCTATGTATGTGCTTCAGATATTGCGACGCTATTATGGCGTTCCCTCCATGGTTATTGTAACTGAAATTTTCATTAGTTCTAATTAATACATTTGTTAAATAGTAGGGCTGCATCTTTCGGCAACTTGTCGACGGGTACATGGCGCGGACTGTGGCGTCGCGGTGGCGGCGCTAGGGCTGTCAGGGGACGCTTTAGGTATATTTTTTATTGTCTATGTATTTTATTTTATAAATAAAGAATTTATGCCACTTCAAAATTATTATGCAAGAATCAAAAACGATTTCAGTACAATAATAATTATAAATTCTTACATTGGGTTTCTAAATTGAGAATGCCAAGTTAGTGTGTCTCACATAGTACATAAACCATCTTAAAGATCACTCAAAGAGGTTTTCGTTCCTGATTTTAATTTAATCATGTGAAATGTAAAAGCTTTAGTTATTAAGAATAATCAGTTGTGATTTTGTACTTTTCTCAATACAGACATAGGACATAATTTTGTCATTATGGGTCATTGTATAGAATAAAATATAATTTCTTTTAAATCAATTTATTTATCATCATAAATATATAGATAAACTTTATTTTATAAAATACTTATTTAATGCAATGTTAAATGTAAACATTGGTTTGAATGTATTTCTATAGGGGCGGTCGTCAAAACGTGGGACGTATTAACCGCACGCCGCAGCGTGGTCACCGCGGCCGAACTCGTGCCAGGGGACGAGCGCGGTCACAGTCAAGTGGGGCAGCCAGGGGTCAGGGCATGGGACAAGCCAGGGGTCCGGGCGTGGGACAAGCCAGAGGACAGGCCAGGGGCCAGAACAGAGGGCAAGCCAGGGGACAGGGTAGAGGGCAAGCTCCGAGACGAGGTCAGACTACTTTCCATAAAAATTTCCCAATATTGCCATGCAAATGTTTTTATATAAATTTTACATAGTCAAACTTATAAAATGCTATGGGGATTTTGACTATTTTTGTTTGACTGTCTGGCAGGTTATTGAAGAATATTAAATACGTATTTTTTTATATATTTCCTAATCAATAAATTACGGCGAGTTGAAATGTCGCATGACGTCCACACCTTTGTACAATTTCTACATAGTGTTGACATTGCGAGACTCCTCAATTTTAATGCCTATTATTTAAACCATTTCTTGTTAAATTAAAGGAAAAAAATATATATCTAATATTTTTCTGTTATCTAGTTGACGGACTTAATAGTTTTTTTTTACCCAGGCATTATCCCTATTATAATAATTTGTAGCGTTGTCATTTTATTGAAAATGTGGCAAATAATATATAAATATTCATATTTATGTTATAAAAGAGAATTAAAAATTATTTCACTTATGAAAAGTTGCACCCAACGCGGGTGACATAGACTATAATTTACACAGGCGAAGTCGCAGAAAAGAATCGTCTACGGTGGGAATTTCAGTACACCTAAGAAAATAACAAAATTGATATGTAATATATTTCTCTGGTCGGCGATATAAAGGTGTTATGTCAATTTTTGGTCAAAATGAGTCATGTCAATAGAAATATGTAGAAAAAAATTAGCTTTCGAATGGTACAATTAGCATAAGTCTACTACGTATATTAATAGAGATATTAACTATTTTAAATTCTATTCATTTCCAGTCTTTCTGTGGAAATCTTTGAAACTTTTTTTTGCTTTCCTGAAAAATTGATGATTTTGACTTGACACTTTTATACCGCCGACCAAAGATTATGACTCATTTATTGCTCTTGTTTGCTGTTGTATTATTGTCGGAATTTCTGTGTTAAACGAAAAAGGTACGAGTAATATGTGTAAATTCTTAAAATGTAAGTCAACATTGAAGTTGGTATTCGTGAAAAGTCAAAGATCGAATTGGTGCTCAGGTCGCAGTCAAAGCCAGAAACCTGTGCCGAGTAAGGAGGAGCTGGACCTGCAGCTGGAACAATACATGGCCGGCTCCCGCGCCGCTCTCGACCAGGATCTGGACGATTACATGAACCACGCCATGGACATGGAGTGACTGGACATTACCACCTCTCCATAGACTGTTGCAGCTGTATTCTGACGCTGATCGTGCAAATTGTGAATATGAAAGTGTTTATCGGACTAACTTTTGTGATTCACAGTGTTTATTGATATTTTGGATTTAAGAGAAAAACCTAGGCCCTACCTCAAATTTAGTTTTTATAAAATTTTATCACGGTCAGCCGAGCTCGCTTGTGATGGACAGAGTTAATTTCGATATTATAGTATTTAAGTATGGATATATTGTTTTGTAATCTACGTCATATTGCTACGAGTCCTACTACTTTGTCTAATACTACTCAGAAAAGGCTTTTGTTGTATTTAGATTGTGGACTGTGACTAGACATTAAGTAATTCAATAACAAAAGCTGTTGTACAATGGAAATATGTCATAATAAAAATTATAGCCTGTTTAATGTTTAAAGTGCCGATCGGTTTTGTATTTTTGCTATGCGGTAAGACGTAAGAGTTCTGATAATGACTTTTACATTGGCCCATTTGCATATTCAATTTCATTTTATATTTGGGTTTAGTTTAGTAATTTTATCTTTGAAAATGTTCATTGATATCTCTGAAAGCATAGGATTAATTCTGATTATAAGATATTTTAAAGTCAAAGTATAATGATGCTTAATAAGAACTTCAAGTATCTCTCGTTGTATGACAGGGTTTTGGTGCTTTGTAAAGTATCAGTCTGTTCTTGAAAAATTATTTTGTAAGAACCAATTCAGTATCTTTATAATCGTAGATTTGAACTGAGGAACATACAAATTGTAATATTTGGAGCCACTTCAATAAGATGATACTTTATTTTTGATCCACAAAGGCTCAGATTAAAATAAAAGATGATTTGTGTTTGTTTCGGTAGTGCAAATCGCACGATAAGAAAAAACCTGACTGTGTGATCGTTGTTTAATAAATTCTTTATAAAAGAATTGTTAATGATGTACAGTCAACAGCACATTGTGGGTAGAGTTTAAAATTAGTTGTGGAATTTTGACATCGTCTGATAACTGTTCAGCCATGTGACAAAAGAACACACATCAATAGATAACACTCTTTATCTATAGCCAAGAAGAAATAAGTACTTGAACATAGGTAGTAACTTAAGGGATTATATTTAACAAATGGACGAGAATTTGAATGAAGTTAGAACTGTCAGCAGTTAATAATAAAACTCTTGACAATTGTTACTTCATTAAAGTTCTTGTTTATTGATTAGATATTTGCTTAAGTTATTACTCAGACGCGAGTAATTACTTCTACTTACTATAGGTACGTAAGAGTAAATCACGGTAACAAAACAGTTAAATTTCTTCAATTGATTTGAAACCTTTTTGTTGATTGTTAGGTATATTTTCGAATAAATTGTTATTATTGGCTTAAATGATGAGCCTTGAAAGGGGAAACATGTTTAAAATCGATCGCAGAAATCTAACATTTTGTTGTTTTGAGCACATTATTTTTCTTTTTTGCCCCGGTTGGAAAAAATCGCAGATTCGGGCCTGGTTTTATTTGATATCCATGTATATGATATTAATTACCCATACAAGATGATAAATTTGTGTGAAACGTCAGCGTCAATGTACAGCTTGATTGGTGAAGTGCAAATAATGATCACTAAAAATTTTAATTAGTAGTAAAAAGATTATTTTCATACGAGTGTTAATTGTAAGTTATTGTCAGGTCTTCGTTAAGTTGCATTAAAATAAAGTTTTGTTCTGCTAGTCTTGTTGATAAAATAAAGTTGTAATGGATCGTTTTCAATGTAAGTTTCTCTTTCTTTTTTTGAAATCTGAAATTACTAGATTTTGTCAGTAATTGTGGATACTATAAAATAAATTTTAGATTGTTTTAAGAAAAAATTATGAAACAATAATGAGCCAAGGGAGTCGAAAACACCGTTATATAAGTTAAAAGTATTAGGAAGCAATTTCAAATATTGATTTATAGAAGGAGATAACTTTTTTATAGCCTTTGTCTCTTAAATAATATGCGACATGACTTTAATCCAGGATATTTTATTTTTAAATTATTTAGTTGAAATAATTTTGTATGTATACGGCAGGCATGGTGGTTATCGTGTTATGACATGTTTAATTTGGAAGTTACATATACCGTATCCATATTTTTTTCTTTAATATCATAAATTTCAACAATATTTTGTAACCTTTATAAACTATAAATTCATGATGTCTGCAGTAGCAGTATTTAAAAAATTTGCGAATGTATAAGTATTTTAAAAATGACGAACGAATTTTTAATGAAGCCTTACCAACTTACTGCCCGTTGCACAAACGTCCATTAAAAATCTTTTAAAGATACTAGTAGTAGCTCTTACGGTTTCCCTAGACACTCGCATAGAAAATTTTATTAATAATGTTAAAGGCACTGTTATGTTTTCTTTTTTACTAAAAACTTTCATTAATCAATATATTATAGCGCTAATAGTTGTCCGGTTTCGCAGTCAGTATAATTGTAATATTTAATTAATGATTACAAATCTGTCAATAGTTTCTCCACTTGATTTTTAACCTTAATGTTTTGAGGGTGGAGTTTAAAATCAGCTTGAGAAATTTAACTTGTGCCGTGTCGTACCGTATGTACAAACACACGGCGGCGGTTACCACAAATGTAAAGTTTAAAAAAATACCAACCGTCTTTGGTATTTTATTATCTAAAAGAATTAAAATAAAACCTCCCCAGGCTCTAGAATCAGAGAATTTTGCTTAACAGTTAAAAATAAAAGTTTTGAATAAGTTCCTTGTTAAAAAGTATTTTTGGTAATTAGATTTTTATCTAATTATTTGGTCACCCTGACCGAACCCAAATATTTGACTTACTGTAATTTGGTTTTGTGTGTTTTTTATAAGTATTGTGTTGATTACATACTTATTCTTCTTAATATGATTTATAAAAACTCAACTTGAATGTAATTTTAGTTATTAAAATTCGATTTGGTTCAATAAAAGTTTACTTTATCGTTTGCCTGATAAAGTACATTTTTGACTGATAGAGAATCAGAAGTCGAGTCAAATTTCTTGCGTCCAATTGCAAGTACCTTTTGTTGTGTATAGTTTTAAATATACTTCTATTTGTTATCGATTAGGTTTAAAAGAAACTCAGACATAATTTTCAAGTAACATGTACATAAAAGTACCTAAGTGTAAAAAAGAAAAAGTTGATTGTTCAAATTAAAAAGTTTTTGAAGTAGAAAAGCATTTTATTTTTTACCCTTAATGATGCTGTATTACATTGAATATGACAGTTAATTAATGGAGTTACTAATATGTGTAGTATAATGTATGTAATAAAGCCGCTTTGGGATATATTGCGTAAGCAGGCGCATTAACTGTAACATTGAAATGAGAAAACGTCATAAGGATATGCAAATATATGATTGAATCTATTAAAGCAATTGATGAAAAAAAAACCTTTAAAATACTATATAAGAAGAACAACACGTGCGTCTTATAAAATCTTTAATTGGATTATTTTACATAAATGTTTTATTATTATATTTAAATTTTTACATCTTTCATAGATAAAATATACAGTACAAAAAAAAAATTATACCAAACTGTCAAATCCCCTCCACTTGATTGTAAACAATAATGCATTGTAGGTAGAGTTTAAAATTAATTGAGGATATTTGACATATTGTGGTAGTATGACTGGAGCCCTATGTAATTTACTATAGATAGGAACTCATGTCGTGATGTTACCAGGCAATTGTCTTCATATCTTTACCGTAGTGAATGTAAGAGAAAATCAATAAGGTTCTTGACCGCCTGCTGAGTTCCTGTTACAAGGTAAAAGCAAATAAAACAAAAGTAACTTGTAGTTGGGTCATCCTCGGTGCGCTCACGACGTTGCTGCCCGTTGGTTTTGTTAGGCTGCGAGTACACTACCGACTGTATCTTACAAGGCTTTCAATTTGTAAAGGAAAATATAATCTTTCCTTAGTAACAATCACATTTACCTATCGAATCTTAATTTTAACTGGTCCACAGTTTTAAAAAATGGTAACAGGTCACAATTCCAATAGTAGGTACGTACTCAATTTTCAACCCAGAAAGAACTGTTTATCAGATTTTAGTCAATCAGTAGGTACATATTCGGAGAATTATTTTATTCTGCCACGGGTCGCTCACTTCATAGTACCTAAATCCAAGGTCTACAACGTTGTTGTCATACATATAATGAAAAAACGTAGGTATATTTGTAAAAATACAGGACACCATCTCTAATAGAGATACCTACCTATTGTTAGACTAAAAGTAGCGAATATCATGGGCTTATTATGGAAACACTTTCTGTCAGTGTGATGTTACTGTCACTTTGACATTGTCATTGACATAAGATGAGATTCGCGTCAATAAACATTGGTGGTGATTATTGAGATAGTTTTGGAATCAGTTTAAAATATAAAATAAAACAGATAAAGTTGTGTTCTTAATACTATATAATTCACTCAGCACAGATGCAAGAGCAAACTGGCCACGCTATTTACAGCGCACCCATAAAAAATGTCTATTTTATCTAAAGAACAAACAATATGCTACTTCTGTTGCTGGTACTGTGTACACCGTAGACTGAAACAGTGCACAGTATTAGTCGATTGGTCGGATATTCGTCGATCGTTTGCACAGGGCTTTAATTGACCGCCAAGGACGATGCGTCGTGATTTGAACAAACATATTTTTGTTTTTTGTATTATGTTCTACTTTAAGGGAGCCGACCCGACAGACTAAAAAAAAAACAGTTTATAGAAACATAAAAATGATTAAGTTGTTATACAAATTTCTTGGAAGAAAATCACTAGCCATAATTTTTCTCGGATATTTTTTTTCATAGGTGATTTATTTAAATATTAACAAACTATATTAACAGGATATTGCTTCGTAAAGCTTTCGGCAACAACTTACTCTCTGTTCTAGTCCTATTTTTGTTTCTTTCGGATCATTCTTTTGGATAGACATTGCTTTCGTTAGG